CGTATCAATTGCTTACAGTCACAACTTAGATGCTTGGACCTCAATTGCTTATGTAGAAGACTACACTTAAGAATGAAATTACACAAAAGTACATAACCATTAATCATCATGTCCATTTGGACACGTTTTCCTAATAAACAATGGTCCTAGAAATTGCCATAACATGAAAAAAAAAATATAGCACAATATTAATCAATGAAGATTGTCTCTTGGAATTCCACCTTTTGGATCATAGACGCACTGAGTCCGGTAGGTGGAGAGGAGCAAACTTAAGCCTTCAGATGCTAAGAAAACGAACAATTGATCTGATCATTCAAAAAGAGCCAAACCATATTAAACCTTTGCGTCTTGGCAACAGACTGACCGGATTAAGTGACGTCCGACGACCACGCTTTTCCTTAACAACAAAAAGTAAAAATCTGAAAAATTCAGTAACCATTTTTGTTGTCCACGAACACAAAAATAGTAAGCAAAACCTTACTTAAAAGCTAAGGTTATGTTTGTTTATGGAAATTTTTGGTTTTGTTTGGATTTTTTTGTTTGATTTGGTGAATTTTGAAAAAAGTGGTATGGTTAGTTGTTAGTGGGTATATTAAAATAATATTTAAAATAAAATAATTCAAATTAATTTGATGTAAAGTAGGAGATATATGATTGAAGTGATAGTTAGTTAAAATAATGTGAGTGGATGAATAGTGAATTAAGGTTGATGTAGTGTGTATGAATGATTAATTGATATTTTTTAATTATATTAATAATATTGATGATAGTGGGGTTGAGTTAAAATTGAGTTAAAAAAAGTGGTTAAGTTAAAATGTTGAAATTTTTTTGAAATTTTTTCATAAACAAACATGCTCTAAAGTTCTGTTTCAAACTGAAAATCCAGTTCAAGAAATTGAAACACAAATAAATAAAAGAAAAATTCCGCTTTTAAAATCTTTATGTTTCTTGCAAGCCAAAAAAAAGGCAAATCCATTTTAAAGCAAAATCGAGTAGTTTAAACCAAAACATGAATCATACGTCGTATCTGCTCGATCTCTTTTCGCTATAGAATCGATCTGAATTTTGAATAATCGGGTAGCAATTAGAGGAATCGAGTGGGACTTGAAGAACAAGGGCAGCAATTAGAGGAATTTACATGGAAATTGAAGATTTGGGCTGCAGTTTGATAAATCGAGTTGGAATTTGAAGAGTCGGGCTGCAATTTGAGTAATCGAGCAACAATTAGAGGAATTGAGTTGGAAATTCGAAAACCAAGCTTCAATTTGAGGGATCGATAATCATTTTGATGAATCAAATGAAATTTTAGGATTTTTTTTGAGTGATGCGAAATTGGGACAACGAAAATTATGTAATTCAAACTCTAACTACAATGTTATTTAGTCTATGATATAGGGAAGTGTACGAGTGGGACGATATTAATGAGATCGCAATCCCAAGAACATCTAAACATGATATCAAATCATCTTTTATTCAATAATTCATAATCAACTGAATAAAACAATAGATGAGGAGCTCTTTAAATAAGACTCCTAAACCCTATTCCTAACTTGTCCAACAAGACAAAATCTCTTATAATAATATTTAACTTATTTTTCAAGATACCTAATAATAATAATAATAATAATAATAATAATAATAATAATAATAATAATTATAATAATAATAATAATAATAATATTAATATTAATGATATTCTGCATCATTCTCCCCCGGTTGAATAAAACAATAGACGAGGAGCTCTTTAAATAAGACTCCTAAACCCTATTCCTAACTTGTCCAACAAGACAAGATCTCTTATAATAATATTTAACTTATTTTTCAAGATACCTAATAATAATAATAATAATAATAATAATAATATTAATATTAATATTAATGATATTCTGCATCATTCTCCCCCGTTTGAGCAGGATTTGCCCTCGAATCCGACCTGTTTCTGTTGGAGACGTCACCATGACAGGAATAGCCCAACGTTTCCCCCGATCGAACACGAAGGTTGAATGTCGTACCTCCATGATATCATCCCCTTGAAATTTATGGAAAGACATATATGCAGCAGCCAAACACAGAATTTTGAAGTCACCGTGGGGACCAAAAAACATTTGTTTGCAAGGCCGCAATAAATTCTCGTGAGAGAAAAGCTCGGGCCTGCACAACAGAAGAACTACCAATTCTTCCAACGGCTGAATTTCGATACCCGGAACATGATGGAATTCCTCTGGCTCCGGAGGCTCCTCATCGAAAATCAGCGGACCGTCGTAGAGACCGTCCACTTCGCCGGTAAGACGCTCTTCCACCTACTCGGGTCCTTCATCAAACACCGGCGGACCATCGTACAATGGCCCGTCAACTTGCTCTTCGTCAAAATCGGGGATGTCAACGCGAAATGGGACCTCCCAGTGACCATATTCTCGATCACATTCCCAATCGTGTCGGGCACGATATCCGTCAGCGAGGGCAGCCTATTCGAGCCTGCCTCTGTCGTTCTGTTGATCGTCACCGTCCACGAAGACCGGCCCTTTCGCCGCATGTCACGACCGCTGTATGCAGCGAAGGAATCAACCTCAACATGCGGGGTGGATGATCGTCGAAGGGATTCACCTCCGAGATTGTCTCCTCGCCGTCTTCATCACTGGACGGTGGTTGTGGAGATCTCCGGCGGGGCGCCCCGCCTGGACCACGGCCTCCACGTCCTCCGTGAACCCCCCCGCGCACGCCCCGGTTGACGGCGTCACGGTTCGTCTGCAAATTCTCAACCATGTTGTTGATCATAAGACGCACTTCTTCGATCCCCGATGAAAGAGTCTCAACCCAACGATCCAATTGATTGATCTGGCGGCCGAAGCCCATGGCTTGTCGACCCGGATACTCAATTGCGGCGTCACACCCGTCGATGTCGTCCTTCCGTGGCAGCATCTTGAATCGTGCTGACTTCTGATACCAACTGATGTAGGGAAGCGTACGAGTGGGACGATATTAATGAGATCGCAATCTCAAGAACATCTAAATATGATATCAAATTATCTTTTATTCAATAATTCATAATCAATTGAATAAAACAATAGATGAGGAGCTCTTTAAATAAGACTCCTAAACCCTATTCCTAACTTGTCCAACAAGACAAAATCTCTTATAATAATATTTAATTTATTCTTCAAGATACCTAATAATAATAATGATATTCTGCATCAGTTTCGTTAACAACTAACGGACATCTAACGGTCGGGTACTAACGTTGATAACAGAATGAAAGTTTGGGTACTGATCTCGTACAAGTTTCAAAACGGGTACTGATTTCAAAATGACCTTTACTTTGGGTATCAAAACTGCAATTTACCCTAAAATTACTTACAAAGTTTCTTTAGAAATTTTAGTGAAAAAATTATCAATTGTATCACCATAATCAAAATTTCATATAATATCCTTCTATTGCATAGATTAATTTGTTGCTAAATTTGTATGGTTTACTTTTTTTAAGTGGTTTTATATGTCATAAGAATAATTTATTTTGTAGTTCAAATATGATGATATGTTAACTAAAGATCATTAGTAAGTAAAACTATAATTACACCTTTTTATCAAGATTATCTTAAATACATTAAATAATATAAATTTATCGTAGTATTAATTATTATAGATCTTTAGTTAATTTATCATTATGTTTGAGCTATAAAAAAATAACTCTCACAACACATAATAACTAAAAAATGGGTAAAGCATATAAGAATTACAAATAAACTATAAATAGTTACAAAATAAATATTAAATATATTTAAATTTTTATCAAGCAACCTTAAACCACGCTGAAAGTAATTTTAAGAAATTAATTAAATATAATCTATGAATCTATATCTATATATATATAAAGAGTTTGTTGGAAAACATTAATAGAAAGTTTGACCAAATAAATATGATATTTGACTTACTATTAATGGAAAGTTCAAAAAAATACATGTGAATCTTTAGTAACAAAATCTGAATCCTATTTTTTTGGTAACTAATTTAGAGATTCTTATGGCAAAATTTGAATTCCATTTTTTTCATATTATATTTTATTTTTTTTACCAAAATTTAAATCATATATTTTTTGGTAACAAATTTGGAGATTCTTATACAAAAAATGTGTCAATTATTTATGAAAATAATTCTAAATACAAATTAACTTAAAAACCGTACAAATTGGATACAAATTTTGGAAACAAATAGTTGTATAATTCTTAGTCAATTCTTCCAATCTTATTGAATATTTTTTTCTTTACAAAAAAAATGTGTAAATTGGATAAAACCACGTGCAATTTTTATTTTAGAATAAAACTGATATTTGGACGGGATGTACATTCAAAATTGTGTTAGGCCTTTTTAAAATTGTTTGGATAACATTGTTTTGGTAACAAAAGCGGTTCATTTTTTATATATAAAAATAAAAAAAATCTTAAAATATCCATAAATATTTAACTTATTTGAGATCAAGATTTGTTAGGTCTTTTTAAGATTAATTATGATTTAAAAGAAAAAAAATATTATACAAAATTTCACTTTAAATCTTACATTCACACTTAAGATTTCATAGTATTCCTCTAAAATTTGATCATCTTAAAAGTCTCAAATCTTAAAAAATCTCAAAGTGGTACTCAAAATTCTAAACGAATACATATTATATACCTATATCGTCAATTTATAATTATTATTTAATATTATTTACTAGTTAATTATAATGGCCAATCAACAAATAATTAAAATTGTTTAAGTAAATAAGATAAATATAGATAAAAAGATTAATTTAACTAGATGTCATAGATAATTAAGTTAAAAAAAAAAAGAGGTATAAATAAATAATAAAGATAAATAAAAGGGTGAGTGGTTTTGGTTTGTGTGAGAGAAATATGTTCTAGAAAATAGAAAAAGTCAACTTGTGGAATAGTGTGCTAAACATTTGTTGAGAGAATACGGATAATAAATTGTAAATGTCCACTTTTTTTCTAGTTAATGGAAATAAACTAAGACATGTATATATAGGCAGAGTATAACATGTGCTGCTGCCCCTCCCTCAAATTAGGCCCTGGACCGTAGCCTAGGTTGCCCTGGCTGCCAGATTCAGTTGGTCTGTCTCTCTTTGCTGTAAATATGTGTTCTAACTTCTTATCGTTCTT